CGTTTAATAAACATCCAGGTCTGTCATCTCACTCCTGTGTGGTATGAAATACCTTTCCCAGGTAAAATAGGTGAGTGGATGCGAGATGGGTCTCCGCTGCTCCGACGGGCCACAGAAACCCCTGGGCTTCAGAAATCCTCTGCCGCAGCCCGCAGAGCAGCCGGGATCATAGCTGTCCTTTTTTTTTTTTAATTAATTAATTTATTTATTATGTATACAATATTCTTTCTGCGTATATGCCTGAAGACCAGAAGAGGTCACCAAACCTCATTACAGATGGTTGCGAGCCACCATGTGGTTGCTGGGAATTGAACTCAGGACCTTCGGAAGAGCAGGCAATGCTCTTAACTGCTGAGCCATCTCTCCAGCCCCCCATAGCTGTTCCTAACCAAACACAATTTCCAGTTTGGTTTTGTTTTTATGAGACAGGGTCTTATTAGGCTGCCCAGGTTGGACTTGAACCCCCCGTTCTACTGGTCACCTTTATCACTGTGACAAACACACAAAACAGGAGAAAAGACCTCCGCACACGGTTTCAGCCTGCATCTCTTGCTCCAGTGGCTGCTGGCCTGCGGGGCAGGGGGGGAGGGCAGTGTTACACAGATGGTGTGCCCAAGAGCGCAGCTTATCTCAAGGCAGCAGGGAGCAGAGAGAGGAAGCAGGGGGACCCAGGGTCCTTGTGTCTTCCAAGGGCACGCACCTAGTGATGTAACTTCTATTAGGCCACACCTCTAAAGGTTCCTAACCACCCCCAAGTGCCAAAAGCTGGGACCCAGGTGCCAAACCTTGAGCTCTTAAAGTAACCACAGCTGTGTCGCATGCAGACACACCCACGCATTCAAACAGCAGCACCTGGGCTCAGGCAAGTGCCTGGCCTCGGCTTCCCATGTACCTGGGACTATAGGTGTGTGGCATCATACCTGTCCCAAATGACTGGTTTTAAAGCCTCTTTTTCCCCCATTGTTTTTTAAGATTTGTGTTGTTTTTAGCCATGTGTCTGTGTACATGCATGTGCGTGCAGGTGCCCTCAGAGACCAGAGACTTCAGATCCCCCAGAGGGGCAGTTACAGGTGGCTGTGAGGGGCCGGAGTTAGGTCTGGGGACTGAACTCGGGTCCTAGCAGCAAGCATTCTCAACTGCTGAGCTCCAGCAGTGACCGAGAACACTGAACTCCCTTCTGTCTTTCCCACACAGTCTGTCCTGTCATGATTCTGCATCTGTGGAGGACATTACAATTGACGGACCAACACTGATACTCTTTCCTGCCTGCCTCTCTTTGTTTCTTCCTTTCCTTCATTTTATTTATTGATTAATTGATCTTTTTAAGACAAGGCTTCTCTGTGTAGCCCTGGCTGTTCTAGAACTCACTCTATAGATCAGGCTGGCTCTAAGTCATAAATCCGCCTGCCTCTGCCTCCTAAGTGCTGGGATTAAAGGTGTGCACCACCACTGCCCAGCCTTCCTTTATTTTTAAACAGGGTCTCATGTGGCTCCATCTGGGTTTAAACTCACTATGTTTCTGAGGACACCACCACACCTGGATTATGCCAAGCCAGGGATTGAACCCAGGGCTTCATGAATTCTACCAACTGAGCCGCACCACCAGCTCATACTAAACATTATTAACTAAAGTCCAGAGCTTACATCAGGGCTCACAGTACCGTATGCTTCGTGGGTTTTGAACACTGTTCAATGTCATGTATCCACTATTACCAGAAAGAACAGCTTCATTGTCCCAACAGTGCCCTGGATGCCAACTACCCATCCCTCCTCTCCATCCTCCCATCGAGCCTCAGTGACTGCTAGTCTATGCTGTCCGTCGGTTAACCTTTTCCAGACACCGTATTCTTTCACGCACCTGCACATCTGAAAAGTTAAAACAGTGCATCATTTCATTAAGAGTTCTTTCTCCCAGCTGGGCAGTGGTGGTGCGCACCTTTAATCCCAGCGCTTGGGAAGCAGAGGCAGCCTGGTCTACAGAGAGTTCTAGGACAGCTAGGGACAGTTAAAAACCCTGACTTAAAAAAACAAAACAAAACAAAACTTTTTCTTCCACCATTTCCGTAGTTCTATAGGCTCTTACTCCAAGGACACCACTTCTATTAGTTTCTGAACCTTCATTTGGCTTTTATTTATACAAACACGTACAATTAAAAATTCACTTTCACCTCTCAAACAATAGCACAGTTGCACGTTGATTTTTTTTCATTTACTTGATCTTGAAGTTCTTTCCATAACAAGACTTGTGCTGCCCCCTTTTCCACTGCTGCTGTCCTGCTCCATAGGCAGACAAACCAGATTTTATTTTAGAAATCTCCAGAAGACAGTCGGTTGTTTATCCAGAAAAAAAAAAAAAAATATGGGTAGTGTGTCCCCAGCCTCAGTACTTGGAAGGCAGAAGGAAAAAGATCTCTGTGAGTTTGAGGCCAGCCTGGTCTCTGTAGAGAGTTCCAGGACAGCCTGGTTTTCATGGTGAGACCCTGTCTCAAAAACAAAACTAAACCACTAACGTTACAGAAAGAACAGGCTAGAAATAGAAAGTTAGTGGGTTAGTGGCTAAAGCGACCTTGCAGGGAGGTGGCAGGAAAGGCTCAGAACAGCTGCACGAGGTGACAATGACCATCCTGTTCCACCTGCAACATTGCAGCTTTCAGATATTGGCCTTTGGTCTGGCCCAGGCTCCAGACAACCTGAGACCAGGACCTCCCACCCCCAGCCCCATCTCAGCCACAGCCCCTAACTGGAGGAGTGGAAGTGGCGAGTGACAAGGCAAAACCGGGGGCAATCTCCTCAGCGTACTGCCAGAAGGAGAAACAAGACCATCATTTGCTACTACTATTTCCGTAGTTAAAACTGGATAAAACAGACCTGGTGGCAGTGATGCATGCAAGCCTTTAGTCCCTCTACTCAGGAGGCAGAGGCAGGTGGATCTCTGTGAGTTCGAGGTCAGCCTGGTCTGCAGAGTGAGTTCTGGGACAGTTAGGGCTACACAGAGAAACCCTGTCTTGAAAAACTGAGGAAAAAAAGAGAAGAAGAAGAAATTTCAGTTCCTCGGCCTCACCCACTGCACAGTCTCAGTGGCCACCGTGGGCCGTCCTGGATGTGCAGCTATCAGCATCCCTGTCCATGTTCCACTTCTCGCGCGACTATTAAAGATGAAGTGAGAGGCTGAGAGACGGCGCAGCAGTGAAGGGCACTTTGCTGCTCTTGTAGAGAATTGGGGTTCAGTTCCCAGGACCCACACTGTGGCTCATGACCTCTGTAACTCCAGTTTCGGGGAATCCATGCCTCTTCTGGCCTCCTCGGGCACCAGGCTCAGATGTGGTGTGCGCACATACAAGCATGCAAAACGTACCCATAAAACAAAAATTTTAAATCTCAAAAGAAAACCTTTTAAGAGAGGGAAGGGCAGTCTAGCAAGATGGCTCGGTGGGCGAAAGTGTTGGCCATCAAATCTCATGACCTGAGTTCAAGCCCAGGACCCACAAGGTCGAGGGAGAGGACTGACTCTGGCAGGCTGCCCTCTGACCTCCCTCCTAATGAGACACACACAACAAGTAAGTAGATGTGCAGGGGGCAGGTTTGGTGGTGTGTATCTTGCAATCCCAGTATTTGGGAGGTTAAAGGGGGAGGATCTCAAGCTTGAGGTCAGCTTGGGCCACCCAGAGAGACTTTATCTAAAACAAAAACAAATGCTGAAGGGTTGACTCAGTGGTATAGCATGTGCTTAGCAAATGTGAGACCCTGCATTCAATTTCCAGAGCACCAAAGAAGCACAATAGAATGACAACTAAAATGTCTAAATGCACTCTGTGATCCTGGATCAGATATTAATCCAGGAGGGGGCAAAATATTGACAAAATTTGAATGTGGTCTGAGATTAAAGAATAGTTTGTAAACACTGTCAGTTTCCTAATTTTTTCAAAAAGATTTCCTGTGTATGAGTGTTGTTTGCCTGAACACACGTCACACAGAGTCAAGCATGCACACACACACACACACACACACACACACACACACACACACCCCACATACAGGCAGTAATGCTGGAGGCCAGCAGAGGGCGCCAGATCACCTGGAGTCAGCTGTGTGCTGCCATGCAGGTGCTGGGAACAGAGCACAGGGTCCTGTGGGAGAGCAAGGGCTCTCAGCCACTGAGCCATCTCTCCAGCCTCTAACTTCCTGATTTCACAAAACCACACTGCAGTTGTGTAAGAGTTAACATTTACAGGAGCTTCGTGCAGAAAACTTGAACATTCTCAGTACTGTTTTGCAACTTTTGCTAAGTCTGAAACGATTTCAAGATAAAAAAAGATAAAAAACATTTTAAAATTATAGATCAAATTATTTACTTAGAGGGAAGGAAAGGAGAGACATGCCTCCTGGACTGTCAACACATACAAACGGACTTTTAAAAAAGTACACCTGTGGGATCAGCATGGCCGTTTCTGTCTGTTTGGCACTAGAGATGAATGTGTTGTCCTGAACGACTTAAGGACAGTCTGGTTTGAAGGCGACGAATGCAGCCCTTCCTTCAGGCTGGGTTGGAGGAAAGCTGGATTGATGCCATTGATTTGTGGTATGACCTGGACAAGCTATTTCTTCTCCCTGGACCTCAGTGCCCTAGTTTTAAAGACATCCTTGCACCTCCAGAGGGGGCTTCGTGATGTTCAAGGATGACGGAAGAAACAGTGAGAGGCCTGGGGAAAAGGCTCAGTTTGTACACTTGCCATGCAACATGAGGACCTGAGTTCAACCCTCAAAACCCACATAGAAACCAGGGCCCAGGGGCACATGCTTGGAAGTCCAGGAGGATCATTGGGCTCACTGGTCAGCCAGTCAAGGTAGGGCAATGAGAGGCCCTGTCTCAAAACACACAGGCTGTTCAAATAAAGGTTGATCAGGACTCCCCAGGAATGGAGAGAGAGACAGAGAGAGAGAGAGAGAGAGAGAGAGAGAGAGAGAGAGAGAGAGAGAGAGAGA